AATATTTTAGCTAGGGCTTAATAGGGGAGGAAATACAAGAGAAGAAAGGAGAAAAATAACTTTGCAGCAAAGAGGAGATTTCATTTGAAGAAAGGAGAAAAATAACTTTGCAGCAAAGAGGAGGAGATTTCATTTGCCACTTTGTTCTTTTAAGTTTCACAAGGCAGGTTAGGTTTGGCCCATCAGAAGACAGTTTGATGGTTTCATTAGGAAACAGATGTATGTAGGCCACTGGGGGAGATAAAGCTCAATTAATCCTCGCTGTTTGTGAATGAAATGTGGAGGGCTTTAACACAGGGGCCAATCTCATACTGAATGCTGTCCTGGAGCCACACAAATCCCAGGAGGCTACATATGCTGGCACTTCCTGGAGCCTATGCACCAGGGCTGTGACCAGCTTTCGGCATCCGCCTCTCCGATGCTACAGTGCAGGGCTTGCAAGCTCAGCAGCATTCTTTATGTTCGTTCAGCAGGTGTTGGGACCACAGAGAGGGAGAGCAGTGCAAAGTAAGAGCAGGGGTTAGTGTAGCAAGAAGGCTTTCGAATGAGGGATCCAGGCTGCTCCAAGGATGGAGGGACTTGCATGTGGCAAAAGGAAACCCCTTTCTCCTCTTGGTTTGAATGAACTTAGGTCCTGAGGGAGCCAGGACCCACCTCTATTTAGGGAACATGCAGCTTTCCCAGGTTGAGGAGGATAAAGAACCAGAGTCGCTCTCCTACTCCTGCAATAAACTTCAGATTCCACAAGCAGACACTATGGAACGCACCATGAAGCATACCCTCCACTCCCCAGGACTTGATGGTCGAGGAAAGGGAAGGTCAACTGATTCACTTTCATTCTTACATCTTATACAGAGTTCCTGGGGAGGGTTCATTTATTGATGATTTGAAGCTGCAACGCTAACAGGGTCACCTGGGAATCTGTGGTTGAGAAGAGAAGGAGGTTCTAAGCACATATAAGGTAAGAGCTAACCCAGACACAGCCATTCAGGAAACTGTTAGTAACTCTCCACTCCCTGTATTAGAATATTCAACTGTGCCCTCCATTATGTGCCTTTACAGTTTTTCCCACTAAATGGGAGAATATTTCCCTGCTCTATTAATAAAAATTACCGTGTGGTAAGACATGGCTTTGCAAAGCCAACAATCCAGGCAGTAATTTCCTTTAGATACTTGCAGGTGGCTATGCCCTCATGATCCAAACAACCCTAATTCCCCTTTTCTTTTTCAAAGGTCACATTTTCCATCTTTTAAAATTATTTGGTCCTCAGGAATGTTTGAGATCTTGCTCCCTGGCATATGTAATCAGTTTGGCTCAAATAAACTCTTTTTTAAAATTAATTAATTTTAAATATATCTTTATTGATTTCAGAGAGGAAGGGAGAGGAAGAGAGAGAGACATCAATGATGAGAGAGAATCATTGATCTGCTGCTTCCTGCATGCCCCACACTGGGGATCAAGCCCACAACCTGGGCATATGCCCTGACCAGGAATCAAACCCTGATTTGTGGTCCATAGGTCGACACTCAACCACTGAGCCATGCCTACAGGGATAAAAAAATTTTTTTTAATTATTTGGTCTTCTCTAAGACTCTTAAAGAACACTTGCCTCATAGCTTTTTCCTTAGCTACTTGTCTGACTTTAGGCAAGCCACCTAATTTGGGGGTCAATTTTAACATCTGTGAAATGGAATGGATTGGATTTCCTGATTTCTATCCTGCCCTAATACTCACAGAAGCAAAAGTACTCAACTTCTTATTGTTATCAGAGCCAATGGAAAGAACTTAATGAAAATGCAGGTAGCTAAACCTCACTTCCATAGATTTTAATTTAGCAGGTTTTGGGTGGGACCCCAGAAACTGTATTTTTAATGAGTAGCCCCAGATGACGTAATGTTTATACTGTAAGTTCCATTGTTTTTTACCCCAAATAATTACACTAATAGAATAAGTGAGTTTTAAGTAAGAGCTAAAGGAAAGAACTTCCCAGGTGACTTAAATGGGGATTTTCAATCAGAGGGGACTTGAGACAGTAAGAATCTAGCTGGATGAGGCAATGGCCCTATTAGAGCAAGTTATTAATTGAAAGCAGCATTGATTGGGCTCAAAAAGGGAACACAACATCATAAGTGTAAAACAACTTATGAGTGATTTTTAAAAATAAAACCGGTTAAGCCTGACTCGCTTGGCTCAGTGGTTGAAGATCACCTATGAACCAGGAGTTCACGGTTGGATTCCGGATCAGGGCACATGCCTGGGTTGTGGGCTCTATCCTACAGTAGGGGGCAGGCAGGAGGCAGCCAATCAATGATTCTCTCTCATCATTGATGTTCCTTTCTCTCTCTCTTCCCTTTCCTCTCTGAAATCAATAAAAATATTTTTTAAATAAATAAAAATAAAAACAGTTAATTGTTTTCAAAGTGTGGTGGGGATAATAGATTTTAATCTAAAACAGGCTACCAAATTTAAAAGTTGAGTCTTTTCAAATATAGGTTCTGTGTACAGGTGCTTTTGTGTGTTTATACACATGCATTATGTATACATGTGTTCATATGTTGAACCTATAGGACATATTAAAGTATAATTCACAATAATAACTAATAATTAACAATGTAGTAATAGCCTAGTGCTTGAAAATTGCATTATAAGAATATTTGAAATGTATCTGCTGCAATTTATGGTCTTAAGATATCATCTTTAAGAATCTGGAAAAGCCACATGTGTAGAACATCATGATTTTGAGTTGTGTAGCCTTATTTCAGACATTTAAAAAGGTTAAACAGATTTCCTATGGGACTTTCTCACTCGTTCATTCACTCCCTGCCCAAGATCTTTTACTCCAAAAGTGTCTGCCAGCAAAGGTGGGAATATAGGGAGGCAGAGCCTAAGGGAACAGGGGGGAGCCTGAGAAAACACACCAAGTCTGAGTTGGGGGATCACCATTCCATTTGGAAGCTGATTGGACAATCGATTATCCATCTCCTTTTTTGAACAGGCTGAAGCTCTAACCACTGAACACACAGGCCAAGGCAATCATCCATCTCCATTTTTGCACCTCCTCCCCGCCCTGCAGGAAACAAAAAGTGCCCGCTTTGGCCCTAATGTTCCATTTACACCCTCTACCTTTCTCCGCTTTCAGTGGGCTCTTTTACTTCTCTGCAGTGAAAAGCTGCTTCCTTGGGGTAAAGGTGTCAGGCCTAGGAGAGATCTTACTGATCCCTCTTACACTGAAGCTTGGGTTGTGCTTTTGAACTCTGCACTTCATGCAGACGTGCATTGTTAATAGACTCAAGCCCATGCCATGTGCCCATCTTCCCTGTCCCGGCCACCAGCTTGGTTGCTCTTGAACTGAAGGCTCACGGTGGGGTGGGTTATGTAATCCTGCTATGTGCCGTGATCACTGTGGATAAGTAAGACTTCATCAGATGCCTGGAATGAGTTAGCAACCCTTTCACAGCTGTATTTTTAAAAAGGTGACAACTACTTACCCATTTGGTACGTGGAATATTCCCAACTGCTGGGTCTCCTAATACTGACCCCGAGCTCATTAGCAGCCTGGTGTGATTGTTTCCATTTTCTAGAGACCAATTAAGCAGTTGCTCGACAGAACTCACAACAAAAATGTAAATTTAAAAACCTGCTGGTGGAGGGGAGAAAGCCAAGGCAGGCGGGCTAGGGGAAGAGGAGTTTGGGTGAGGATGTGAGCGGCTCTGTTTCTGCTAGTGGAGTACTGGGCCTCCTTGAGCTCAGAGTCCACCACAGTTTACCTGAGAAGCACCCCGTCCCCCAATAAATAAATAAATAAATAAATAAATAAATAAATAAATAAATAAATAAATAAATAAATAAGAAAAGAAAACAGCAGAGACCTTTAATCATGACCACCCATTGGCCCACGCAAGACACCTAATTAAAGATTTGTGCCAAGACCCCCCTCCTCAGAGGCAGCTTCACACCAGCGTTTCAGCTTCAGCCTAAATGGACTGTGTGTCATCAAGCTTCCCTCACCCCTGCACCGGATCCACGGAGGCATCAAACCGCAGGCACATTCTGCACCATGTAGTCCTCTCAAGGGAGATTGAAAAACGTCCTACCGTCGTCCCCATTCGCCTTCCCCAACCAGCATCTCCCTTTAGAGAGGGAATTTCTGTTGCCTCCTAGAAGACAAAAAAGCAAAAGACGAGGTTTGTACATAGCGAGAGGCTAAACTACCTACTTCGGTCCCTCCCCGCTCACCCACGCGTCTGCTCCCGGCCCCGCCTCCTCCTGCAGGGGGCCGATGGTCAGGTGAGGTTACCTGGGCGCAGGAGAAGCCCCGAGGGGCGGTGCGATCCTGTCTTTCGGAGTCGCCCCATTCCCCGCCCCCAGGGCCGCAGGACTCTTCCCCCCTCTGCCCCCGCGCGCGTCCCCTGCCCCTCGGGCTTCAGCGCGCAATGACAGCCGCGCGCCGCTCGGCTCCCCTCCACCGACCTGGCGTGACGCAGGCGGAGACTACTTAAGGGCGGATTAGAGGCGGCGGCCGCGGATTCCCAGCCCCGCAGCCGGCTCTGCGCGCTCCGCCCCGGCCTCGCAGGTGGCAGCGCGGGAGCGCTCAGTGCAGACCGAAGTGCCAGGCACCGGCTGGTGCCCGGACCCTTTCCCGGCCGCCAGCCCCGGGGGTGAGTGGCGCGCTGAGACCTCTCGGGAGGGCGCGAGAGTTGGAGGAGCTGCACGCTGCCACCCCGCCCCGCCCCTCGCCCGGGCACCGTGGGCTCAAAACCTGAACCCCGGACGGCGCGGGAGGTCGTGCCGGCTCTCTGGACCGCGCCAGCTGCCCCATCAGCCAGGGTGCGCTTGCATTTCTTTCCCCATTTTTCTCTTTTAAGTACAATAAACGGGAGAGGAGATTCGTGATTTTTTTTTTTAATTGTTTGCTTCTTTAATTGCGGGGCAATTCGCTCCCAGCGGGGACGTGCGGCCCGGGGTGGGGCCAGGAGCAGGAAGGTGCCCGGTGCTGCCCACTCTTTGTCTGCTGCCTCCGGATGCACAGCGATGGGGGAATGGACCATCTTGGAGAGGCTGCTGGAAGCCGCGGTGCAGCAGCACTCCACTATGATCGGGAGGTAAGGGCGCCGAGCCGGCTGTCGGGCGGCCCCGGGAGTCCCTTCTCACATCCAGACTGAGCCCCAACAGCCCCCAGCCCATCCCCTGACCCTTCCCATCGTCCTCAGCCCATGCGTCTGTGTTCCCGCATTGAGAGATTACCCGATGCCCACCCCCTTCTTCAGCTGCTCCTACTCAGCGCCCCATCCCCTCCCTATGAAGCCACACAGGGGGTTCACTCTTCTCCCAATGGAAACGGAGTTGTTGGCTCAGCCATGGTCCCCCCACTCTTGGGAGTCCAGCCAGTCTCCATCCGGTTCCCTAAATAGCATCTACAAGGAAGGCAGGATTGTATTTGGACAGAGGAGGACAAATGGGAAGATGGATTTGCTCTTCAGAGCAGATGTATCTTTCCCCAACAAATTTTTATTAAGCTAAACCGATTTGGCTGCTAAAACTTAACTGTCAGAAACCTACACACCCAATATTGTAATATATTGTGTATATGTGTATATATATATATATATATATATATATATATATATATTCATAGCTATCTGTTTATGTAAAGCATTAAGTTCAATATTCATATGGAAGATAAACATCCAATCCAGCTGGAGTACTTATATACACTGTGTAGGTTTTGAAATGTATTCTGTTCAGATATTCGGTGTGCCTTTGCCATATCCAGAGGGAAGGCGTGTGTTGTGCCTCTGTGCATTCCACATATACAGATGAAACCTGTCTGTGGCAGATGTGCCATGCCCAACGTACAGAGAACTATATATCTGACATCCCTGTCATATGAAGTGCTCCCAGCACCCAGCAGAAAGGGAAGAGACACAGGCTTCCTAAGATCTCCAGTTCAGTACCATGCAGGGCTGGACAGCTCCTCAGTCAAAGGTCCTCTATAAACAACAGAGCAGGGAAGGGAGGAGCAGGGAAGGGAGGGGCAGGGGTTTCCTAAATCAGTGACTCAGCCCACGAGAACCTCTCTCCCTCCCTCTCCCCTGCTCAGGATCCTGTTGACTGTGGTGGTGATCTTCCGGATCCTCATTGTGGCCATTGTGGGGGAGACAGTGTACGATGACGAGCAGACCATGTTTGTGTGCAACACCCTGCAGCCTGGCTGTAACCAGGCCTGCTATGACCGCGCCTTCCCCATCTCCCACATACGTTACTGGGTCTTCCAGATCATAATGGTGTGTACCCCCAGTCTCTGCTTCATCACCTATTCTGTGCACCAGTCCGCCAAGCAGCGAGAACGCCGCTACTCTACCGTCTTCCTAGCCCTGGACAGAGACCCCCCTGAGTCCATGGGTGGTCCTGGAGGAACTGGGGGTATGGGCAGTGGTGGTGGAAAACGAGAAGATAAGAAGATGCCAAATGCCATCGTCAATGGGGTGCTGCAAAACACAGAGAACACCAGCAAAGAGACGGAGCCAGATTGTTTAGAGGTTAAGGAGCTGACCCCACACCCGTCAGGGCTGCGCACTGCAGCGCGATCCAAGCTCCGAAGGCAGGAAGGCATCTCCCGCTTCTACATTATCCAAGTGGTGTTCCGAAATGCCCTGGAGATTGGGTTTCTGGTGGGCCAATACTTTCTCTATGGCTTCAGCGTCCCAGGGTTGTATGAGTGTGACCGCTACCCCTGCATCAAGGAGGTGGAGTGTTATGTGTCCCGGCCTACTGAGAAGACCGTCTTCCTAGTGTTCATGTTTGCTGTGAGTGGCATCTGTGTTGTGCTCAACTTGGCCGAACTCAACCACTTGGGTTGGCGCAAGATCAAGCTGGCTGTGCGAGGGGCCCAGGCCAAGAGAAAGTCAGTCTATGAGATCCGCAACAAGGACCTGCCCCGGGTCAGTGTTCCCAACTTTGGCAGGACTCAGTCCAGTGATTCTGCCTACGTGTGAAGGGACAGGTTTGGGGAAGGCCCAGGGGATGACAGGTAGCCCTGAGGCAGATGGCTGTTTGAGAGTGGCTAACATCTGCCCTCAATTATTTGACTCTCACTATTGAGATACAGGAAAAGGTTGGTTAGGAGAAGATGTTGCATCAATGGGAGAGGAGAGAAAGAATCATTAGGACGTCACACCACTGGTTCCACAGAGACAATTGGGGAGAGTGATGAGATGGATGAGCTGGCCTTTGTTGGATCTTTTAACTTTATGGCCAAGTCTGATCTTGATAACAGTGGACTTGTACAGCTACAAACTAGGACTTAGCTCTGCTGAGTTCTGCATCCTGGTGAATGGTGTAAGTGAAATTCTTCATTGGTACAAGATTTGTGACTTATCTCAACACATCCCTTCATCCTAGGCTGCAAGACAAACATCCTTGAGGCATTCTTCATGTATCTCCCTGATCAGCATGCCCCTTTCCTCAACCCAAGATAGCATGCCAGCTTTTTTTTTTTTTTTTAAATCTGGCCTTACAGTAGACCTAATATGGTTTACCTGCAAGCTAGAGGGAATTACTTGGGATGCTTTTTTGGAGAATGGTCATGACAAAGGCTTGCATTAGAGTCCCATATGACTGGCCCTTAGTCATTATGAAAACCTTAGGAATGTCTCGATATTTCCAATTTTCTAGCTCAAACTGCACTGGTGCTCTTTATTAGGGATAGGGTTTGGGTGGGAGGGAGGGAATTGCAATATGCAATTATAACACTTCTGTGAGATGATTGTTGCACTGTTAGGCATGTGTTTATGAGCTTTGGGATACTTTTGCCTTCCAGTGTGTGGACTTTGGATAGCATTAAAAATATTTTTTGTTAATATCAAAGGTGTCTACTCGAGCCACAGAATTTCTAGCTGGTGTATTCCATTTATTTTCTAATATAGTTTTGTTGTGCAACACAGCTGCACTTCATTTTGCCACTGTTTGAGTTTACCTGTGTGCTCACACCAGAGACCTTAATCAGCCCATGTCAACCCCTATTTGTTATTTTATCAGTTATTTTTGAAATCTCCACAAAATCACTAGAACTAAATATTATCGGGTAACATGTGTTTATGAATGCTTAAGACATATACCAAAGGTTTAAAAACCTATTGCTTTGGACTGTGAATATATTTCCCTTTCTTTGCTCTTATCTATTTAAGTGCCATACTATACCTTTTATATCCACTGTATATTTACACTTGATCTTAGCCAAAAGGCCGAGAAGCGATTCCACTGTATATTTAGTTAAAACATTGGCCAAGAGTAATATTTGGATAATGTACTTTTATGAGTCTTGTTTCCTTTCCATTATCATTATCATTTTTATTTAGATATGGATGCAGTGTAACACACAACTGAGGATTTGTTTAAAATAAAGTTCTTGCCTTTTTTTGGTAAAATGGGAAGTCTGCATTTTTCTATTTTGATTGGGGTTCTATTTATTTAAATATATGTTCAAAATGTTTTATTACATATTTTAAAATGCAGAACACTGGGGGCAGGAAGTGAGAGATGGATGAATAGTATTTGAGGGATGACCAATAAAGTCCAATTAGTCACTCACAAATGAGAAGAGCCTCGTACATTTTATGAATGTTTAGAAGAGTGTGATGAGTTATTCAAATAGTAGCATTTACTAACTCCTTTCCATTTTAGCCCAAGATTTCTCTGTGTGTGTTTTTTCCATGAGGCAATTTCTTATATCACAGTAGCTCATTCCAGGAGTGAAGATTTTTTCCCTTTCCACCATACTTTCCCTGCCATGAATCGTCACATATGACAGGCATGTAGTGCTCTCCATCATCTCTTGAAGTTCTTATGTGTAAAATGATGCTGATCCAACAGTCAAGCAGAACCCTCTAGACCAGCACTGTTCAACGCAGCTGTGTATAATGATGGAAATTTTCAACTATCTTTGCTGCTCTGTATGGCAGCGACTATTGAGCTCTTAAAATGTGACTAGTGCCATTGAAGAACTCAATTTCTAATTTTATTTAGTTTAAATAGCCATATATGGTTAGTTGCTGCATTATTATTATACAGCACAATTCTAGATATCTAATAATTTATTTTGGGGTTCTCCCAAAGGAGACTGAGCCTTTGCTTATATGCACAAGATATTGCATTCTCACACAATGCATTCTCATTTTTTGGCATTTTCTGTCTACATGTGGTCCCATTAGTTCAGTGGGCTAATGTTCTTTTTCAATTCTTTAATGTTACTCACCTTCTAATTCTAGTAAGCATTTGGTCTGAACACTGAAAAGCACCATGGAATTTCCTGGATGACTGTTTTTCAAACACACTTGTTGCACCCTTTAACTATAGCAAGGCAGATGCCAATTTTAGAATGAAAATATTTCAGCCTATAGGTTTTCATCTGCAGTATAAATAGGCAGTTGAAAATTATTATTCTTGAGTACAGAAACAGATCCTCCTCTGTTTTGTGTCTGGTGAGCTAAAAATGTTTTAAGACACCTCCCAGAGATGGAGGAAGAGTGTTGCTTGAGATCTCTTAGCATATGCTTGGGTGTGAAAGAAGTAGGAAACTGTGTGGAAAACAAGGGCTGCTGTATTTGTGCCGTGGTGTACGATGACAAGAATAATAGTGTTTCCTGGTAGAAATACATTCCATATTAGTGGGGCGGATCTCTTTCTTCTTGGCATATAGGGTCATCCCTCAGAATGACTGATGTGTATCAGTCTGATCTTTTGCTTTCTATTTAATGAAGGAAATATACTGATGATTTGATGCTTCACATAGCTATGTGACGTATGTGACCTTAATCTGTACTTTGTGAGAGGACAGCCTTGATATATTCTCTCAAATTTAAGAGCCTTTTGGTGCACTACAGCCCCTGGCCTGTGTGTGCATGCATGCATTCGTGGGGGGGGGGGGGGGAGGGGAGGGGGGGGGAGGCGCGCGCACATGCGCTCTGCGCACTTTGGTGTACATAGTTGGTGCCAATTCTAAAAATTTGAAGAACAGCCTGGAGAGAGTGAAGTTATTTAGCCTGGGAAAAGAAACACCAAAAGCATCAAATTTGTAATGTTTAAGTCATCAGATATTTAAAGGGTTAACAAAAATATGAGAGCTAACGGCTGTACTCTCTAGCTCTGGGGACAGAGGGAAAGGACTGGACTTAGAATGGAGGGTGTGCGAGGTTAGGAGGGATCAGAAAGAACATGCTTTCTCTTGCACCTCTGCTTTTTTTAATGCTATTTCTTCTGCGGGGAATATCTGTCCCATCAACTCCTTTTGTTGGGTATGTTCTTCTTCACCCTTAAAATCAGTTTGGCTGTCCACTCCTCCAGACTGGCTTAGTGCCTCTGCAAAAATACAAATACTAAGTATTTTCAAATCATTAGGTACGCTTATGGTTAGGGAAGGCTATATAATTTAGTGTACAAAATGGGCTACCTTAGATAATGAAAGAAAGGGGCAGGATCGTTAATTGAATGCAACACCAGAACAATGGGTATACGTTGAATCTGTCTTGAACAAACCAAGTTGTGTACTTAAGACTAATAAACAGCCATTGAGCCCATGTCCCAGGCCCTGGGACCCCAGAGATAATTATAATACCTAAGTCTCAGATCTTGAGAAGGGTTGTCAAAGTTACTTCTCAGACAAAAAGGTAAAAAATTATGTCAATAATAATGGAATAATAGTAGTGCATTTAAAAAATATTAATGCCTTTGGCCCACTCTGGATTATCTAAATTAGAATCTCTGAGGCTGTAGTCTAGGCATCAATATGTGTGTGTGTGTTTAATCTTTATTGTTGAAAGTATTGCATATATCCTCTTTTTCCCCCATTGACCCCCTCCACACCACTCCAGCCCCACCCCAGGCCTTCACCGTACTATTGTCTATGTGAATGGGTTATGCATATGTGCATATAAGTTCTTTGGTATCGATATTTTTTTAATTTTCCATTCCTCAGGGATTTGACTGTGTAGTCGTGGTTGAGAACAACTGATGTGAAGTCACTGGCATGAAATTCTGAGAATCAGATGTTTGGAGGAGAAATTTGAAAAGGAGTAAAAAAAGGGAAGTCTGAAACTGTCACAAAAAAAGCTGCCTGTTTACATCGCATGCGAAATTAGTGATGAGAACAGAGATCCTTGGGACTTTAGAAGTGGAAGCAGCGGCCATGGCAATGAGAGGGGCTGGCCAAGGTAGAACCTGAAGTGCCCAGAAGAGGAGCCCATCATGGAAGTTGAAAAGAGCTGGCTAGCAAAAGAAAGTTGCAGAGTGATGCCATAAAATTGAGGGAAATAGAATCTCAAGAAATAGGGTCTGTTATTAATACTCAATTTTAGTAAGTATTCAGCTAGAATCAGCAGTCAACCTGTGGGTTGCGACCCCTTTGGCGGTCAAACGATCCTTTCACAGGGGTCGCCTAAGACTATCCTGCATATCAGATATTTACATTATGATTCATAACAGTAGCAACATTACAGTTATGAAGTAGCAATGAAAATAATTTTATGGTTGGGTCACAACATGAGGAACTGTATTTAAAGGGCCAGAAGGTTGAGAACCACTGATAGATAAAAGGTAGATAAAAACCTCAGAAGCATCCACTAGGTTTGGTGAGTGAGTAGGAAAGGAGAAACAGTGAGCAGAGACGATCCTTTGCTTTGAAGCTCCAGAACTCCTGCAGGTTCCAGGAAAGCTATGAAAATAAGAGCAGGTGAAAGGTAAATTGTCAATCTCATCCGGGTCAAGGCTCTGATATTCAGTCAGGCATGACAAGCCAGTTCTGTGACTATCCAACGGTTATGTTCATGTAGATATTGTTACACACAAGATAGCATGAATATTAGCTAAACACACCTGGTTGAACCAAACCTAAATGAGTGGTTGTGGTTAAAATGTACCATTGTCAGCTTTGGGTCTTGAGGGCTTGTAGGCATTAGTCTAGAGCAGTGGTTCTCAACCTTGGCTGCACATTAGAATCACCTGGGAATCTTTTTAAAATCCTGATTTCTGGGCCTCATCCTCCGGAAATTCTTTCTTTGTTATGGGGTGGGGCCACAACATTAGTAACAAAGAAACAGAATTTCTGGAGGATGAGGCCCAGAAATCAGGATTTTAAAAAGATTCCCAGGTGATTCTAATGTGCAGCCAAGGTTGAGAACCACGGCTCTTAGGCCCCTCGAGTGTGGCCACAAAGTTTCAATCACACTGTACGTGCATGCCCGCATGTGGTATTTTGTGGAAGAGCCACACTCAAGGGGCCGAAGTTTGCCAACCACTGGTCTAGAGGCTTCTGAGGGATGCCCGTGCTGAGTGTCAATGCCTGACTTGCTGTTGTGAATCAGGTCCACAGTTCAGCCAGGCCAGTATTCTAAGTCTCCAACAGCAGTGGCAGAGTTCTGATAAATTGACCAGTCATTTTTTTCTCAGCCCAAAGACTAGCAATGCTCTCTAAAACATGTGTATTTAACTTAACAAAGGATCTATCACCTATAATTACATCCTAACTCTCCCATTCCAACCCCTTCCTTGAAAGTCTCCAAAAACATTAAGCAATAGAGAGTCATTCAATTCAATTCAGTGCTTTCTTGAGCACTGATAATGTTCAAGGGCCTGGGCTGCATATTAAAGGAAA